TTTTTTTTTTTTTTAAATATTGTTTATTTTATGTATATGAGTGCTTTGTTTTCATCCATACCAGAAGAGGGAATCAGATCCCATTACAGAGAGTTGTGAGCCACCATGTGGTTGCTGGGAATTGAACTCAGGACCTCTGGAAGAGCAGTCAGTGCTCTTAACCTCTGAGCCATCTCTCCAGCCCGCTATTAGACTTTTAAAATATCTTAGAAACTTAAAATCTACAGGGCCAAGACTTTTTTTTGTTTTTGTTTTTTCGAGACAGGGTTTCCCTGTATAGCTTTCCACCTTTCCTGGAACTCACTTGGTAGCCCAGGCTGGCCTCGAACGCACAAAGATCCACCTGGCTCTGCCTCCAGAGTGCTGGTATTAAAGATGTGCACCACCACTGCCTGGCTTAGGGCCCAGACTTTTCCTGTTCCCTCTGCTCCCAGGTCCCCACTGCGAGGATGGGAATTTGTCTCAATGTTCAAGCTATTCGCTGTGGAGAAAGATTTGATGTTGGTTGTTTTGGATAAAGGGGAGCTGAGAAACTCAAACAACAACAAGGGGAATGAGTGGACTTGTGTACGTGTAGATTTGAGATTCAAGCATCTCTCTAAGTTTCAAAGGAGAATCAAGCAAAGTCTGTTTGGAATGGAGCAAACCCCCAGTCATTCAAATTCTACTAAGTCAGAAGGACCAGGGATTCATTGTGAAACAAGGGTCCCTACGGTGGGTGGCCTCACATGGGCACACATCTGCCTACTTCGTGATTCAATGGTTCTTGTGACCTCCGCTCCTTAGATCACTGAGCCTCAGTTCTTGATAACATATTGAATCCTGATAATGATGTCCATCTTCGGTCATTATTGCGCTTGTTCAATGAAATACTTAGCGTAGCAAAACAATGCGCACCAAGTCATGATCGGGCATGGCTGCCTGCTAAGGATGTCATTCAGCAAGTGCACAACAGCACTGTCTTCTTTTAACGCTGTGTAAAACCGGTGGCTGCTTCAAATCAAGCACTTGAGAAATTAAAACATTCTTTTAACATCTGGGCCCCAGTAATTAATTCTTGTATTCATAAGCATTGGTGCTACATTATCAAGTAATGGAGGCCTCTTGGGAATTATAACTTTTTAATTAATGTTACCTCCTGGGTACTGATTACCCCTAAATTTATGGCTTAGTTTGCATATACTTGGGAGAGATGGAGTGATGTGCCTCCCTCAAGCGTCTACATGGCAGCCCTCAGACCATGTTCTAAGTCAGGTGAATTCTGTGCCCATCCTGTCTTGTGCAGTACATTGAAGATTTTCCACAACTTTTCAGTAATCTCAACCACACCGGTGGGTTGCATAATCCTTTGTCTTAACGGCAGGCCTGTAGCAAATCTTTCTTCTTCTCTTCCTCCTCTACGGGCTCCATTTTCTGGCTCTGGTTTCCTTGGTGGGATGGCAGCTAAGTGCCATCAGTGGAAAGGCCTTTCGCTCATTCGTCAAGTTTAATTCTTTTGTGTGTATGCATGTGAGTATGCATATGTGTTTGAGTATGGGATATGTGTGTGAATGGTGTATGTGTGTATGGATATATGTGTATATTTGTGAGTATGGTATAGGTGTGTATGTGTGTGCATGTAATTGTGTATGAGTGTGATGTTTGCATATGTGGGTGTACATATATGCGTGTGAGTGTGGTTTTGCCTATGTGAGTGTGTTTGTTTCTTATGAGCACAGAGGCCGCAGCAGGAGGATGCCAGGTTTTGTTCTATCACTTTGCACCTTATTCCCCTGAGACAGGGTCCCTCATTGGACCTGGAGTTAGGCTGGTGGTGAGCAAGCCCATCAATCTTCCCATCTCCACCCCTCCCAGTGATGGAATTACAGGCACGCAGGAGGCCACACCTGGCTTTTTTGCAAGGGTCCTGGGATTCGAACCCAGACCCCAATGCTTGTGCATAGGTGCTTACACCCACTGAGCCATTGCCCCAGCCCCTGAGTTTAGCTCCTCACTCTGTTATCCCTTGATGGACTGTGGGTCTCCTGCCTGAGCCTCAGTTCCCTCTTTGAGGGGAGAGGGTTGCAGACTGCTGCAGGTCTCAGGGATTAGAAGAAGGAGCAGACCTGGAAGAGAGCACGCTGTGGCTGATGGCTTCCGAGCGTCTGCAGGGTTGGAGGCCATGAGAGCAGGTCTTGGATGGCAGGAGAAGAGCTCAACTTTTCTCTCCTGACCTTTTCTCTCTCAGACAGACGGGGACACCGAGAGGGCAGTGTGATAGTTACTTGTCTCCCTGCTGTCGGAACAATCGACAAAAACAACTTAGTGGGGGGAGGGGCTGTCCTGCCTCGCAGTTCCGGGTGTACGATCCGATCCATCATGGCCAGGAAGGCGAAGAGGCAGGAGTGTGAGGTCACACTGTGTCCACAGAAAGCAGAGGGCGCTCAGCTCGCTTTCTCATTTTTATTCCCTCCCAGACTCTAGCCCTTGGAATTGTGGGTCTTCACGTTCAGAGTGGGTCTCCTTCCCTCAGTAACCTGATTTAGAAGGACCCCTCCCTGGCAACAGACACACCCAGATCTTGTTTTGTAGATGATTCTAGAACCCGTCAAGTCAGTAGGATAGGTGCCAGCTGGGAGGGCAGTGTGGCTCTGTCACCTCTTTCTGTCTTTAAAGGCCAAGAAGCTGGACCGGCGGCTTCAGTTCTGCTGGCCTGGTCGGCCCTGGGAAGTAGCGTATCCATTGGGTTGCTCTCCGGTACCCAAGACTGAGGGCCAAGGCTGTGCCTCTGAGTCCGGCCGCCATGATCAGTGCGACTGTGTGATCGCAGGTGGTTCGGATCGCCTCTCTGAGCCTCTTTTGCCTCAGCCCCATACGCAGCCTGTTGCCCATAGCACCTCTCCTACCGAAGCCGAAGGGATCTGCGGAGACAGTGAGTGTGAAGGTGATTTATCAGTTGCAAAGTGCTGGGCAGATGGTAGATATTAGAGCAGATGATCTCAATTATCCCTTTCAGTCCTAAAGATTGGTGATTCTAGATGGACCCAGGCAGGAGGGCTGGCTCCTGCTGGACGGGGTTTCCTCAGTGCCGCCCCCACCCCTGCTTAGCCCTGCCCCCGCTCTCCTCCTCTCTGCTTTTCTATTGCGTGTGTGCGTGTTTATATGTGTGGTCCTATGGTGTGTGTATGTGGTCTACGAGCTCCTGTGTATGTGTATGGATGCCAGAGCAGGCCACCAAATGCCCTCTGTTATTCTCCGCTTTATTCCTTCGAGGCAGCGTCTTTCCCTGAACACAGAGCTGTGTTTTTCAGTTAGGCTGGCCATCAGCCAGCCCCAGCAATCCTCCTGTCTCCACCCTTCACTTCCTCCACAGTGTTGGAGTTCTGGGTGCAAGGATACCATGCCTATCTTAGGGACTGTTACCCACACTCATGTCCTCATGGTCACACAGCAAGTGTTCATAACCATGAAGTCATATCTTCAGCTCCAGTTTCCAGCTCTTGATGGACAACTAAGGCACTAGCCCCTTTGTGGGAGGAAAAATCCCTTCTTGAAAAGCCACACCCACCATGGGGACATTGGTTTGTTTGACTGAACTAAGCTGAAGCCCCACCTTGGGCAGGGAGATTTAGGGGTACAGAGTGTAGTCATCACACTCTCTGAAGCTTAAACCAAGCTTTATTGAGCCAAATTAAAAATTTGACTCCTTTTCGTTAATCCCACAAAGCTCCAACCAAGTTTAGGGGACTTCTTGGCTATGCTATGGGCCTATTGGGGGAGGCATAGAAGGTCATTCTAGTGACCAAAGTGTACATGAAGCTGGAGCAGATGGATATGATGTGCTCCGTGAAAGATTTGAGGACAAAAACATGCTCGGAAATGTAGATTTACTGGTCTCCAAGATGCTGAACATTTATAAATAGACCAGTATGCACAGGGCAACTGAGATACCTCTTCTCATTGGGCTGGAGTCTGGCTTGAATGGCATGGGCGTGGAAAACTGCAGCTCCTTTCAGGTCTCCTGACGTACTGTCTCCTTCATGTCCAAGCCAGTCTTATTTGCAAGATTGACTTCCAACGTTGTGGTCCCTAGTACGAAGTAAAGACCTAGTTGCTGTGGTTTGATGTGTTGCCCCACATCCATGAGTTGGAGACATGACCTCCCATTTTATATGCTGTTGTATTGGAGGCAGGGCCTTCGGGAGGTAGTTAGAACTTGAGAGGGTTCTGTGAGTACTTCCCTGCAAACTCTTTTTGTTGTTATTATTGATTATTATTATTATTATTACTATTATTATTATTAATTTTATAAATTAGTTTGCAAATAGCAATCCCCCCTGCCCCCCATCTTTTCCCTGCTAAAAGAAGCAGAGGTGCCTTTAAATGGTGTATGTTGGCTCTGGCTCCTGTCTGTCTGTCTGTGTCAGTAATAGGAAGAGCTTCTTTGCTCCAGGACTAGTCCCACTGCTATGATGTGCTGCCTTGCCACAGGCCTGCAGTGGTGGGATAGAGAGACCACGGATTCAAACCACAGAAATTGCGAGTCACCATAAACCTTTCTTCCTTTCAGGCTCATGTCTCGGGTATTTTGTCATAGCGATGGAAGGGCTGGCAGACATATCTGGCAAACACATTCTGGAAATCCATATAAAACCGGCTGTTCTGCAAACTAATTAAATGCACAACAATGACAACAACAACAACAACAACCATGACGACAACAACAAGAAGAGGTTTGTTGTGGGATGGTCTCTATGTCAAATTGCTCTGATTGGTCAATAAATAAAACACTGATTGGCCAGTGGCTAGGCAGGAAGTATAGGTGGGACTAACAGAGAGGAGAAAAGAAAGAACAGGAAGGCAGAAAGAGTCACTGCCAGCCGCAGCCATGACAAGCAGCATGTGAAGATGCCGGTAAGCCATGAGCCATGTGGCAAGGTATAGATTTATGGAAATGGATTAATTTAAGCTATAAGAACAGTTAGCAAGAAGCCTGCCACGGCCATACAATTTGTAAGCAATATAAGTCTCTGTGTTTACTTGGTTGGGTCTGAGTGGCTGTGGGACTGGCAGGTGACAGAGATTTGTCCTGACTGTGGGCCAGGCAGGAAAACTCTAGCTACAGAGGTTGCCTGGATAGGTGATGCCTTTCTCAGAAGCTGCTGGTTAGTAAACATAATTCAGAGCCCCAGGCATGATAGTGGTCTGTGAGCTGTTGGTCAGGGAGACCCCACAGGCTCACAGTACAGTCTATTGGCAGCATCCTGGGTTGCCTGCCAGCACTGGATAAGACCATCTTGTTGCTGAAGACCACACACACTTGATCAGGACGGAGACATCAAGCTGGAGCTGAGCCGGAAGCTTCTCCCTTCCGGTGAGCTGTCATAGTGCAGGAAGGTGTTCCATAGGCTGCTGAGCCGTTCAGGTCGTCAATGTCAAAGTCATCAGTGTCGTCTCACTTGTCTGTGAACCCCGTGAGCTACAATGCCAGGCGAGATGTGCCCACTGGTGAAATAGTGTCATGGACAAGCTCTTCCCTCCCCTCAAAGGTGATGGTCACAACCAGTGTCTTTAAATCTAGAGCCTACACACTCGGTATGAGATCTCCAGGGCAATGGATGTGGGTCTATTTTTCCCCAGGTCAGTTTGGACTTAGTGTGTTTGCATTTGAGGCTGGTTTTGTTTTTAAACTTCATGATGCGATTGGTATTCTGTCTTCTCTCTCTTTTCCATTATTAACTATTTCTGCTTGGGCTGTGATACGTTTGACATTCACATAGTATTCCTGACTGTATTTGAAATATATAATATGTTACTTAGGAAGAGCAAAGAAGAAACAGTGGATATTTTATTTATGCTTTTAAATTATTTTTCTTTGAGAATTTCATATCTGAGCACAATATTTATATCATTCCATCCTTACTTCTCCCATATCATCAAAGGTCGCCCAAAGCATCAATTACCTGTGACTGTCCTCTGTCCCTCCATTCTATCTCCCTCTGTCACTTTTCCTCCATAATATAATGAGGAACCCAGTCTATGGGGTCCCAGGATCACCCATGATCAGCTACTTCCAGGTCTCACTTGTGTCTCTCCCTCTTAAGACCCCAACTCATTTCCCTGCCTGACTGTTCTGTACCTCATGAGAAACAGACCACGCTCTGGAAAGGAGGCCTCCACTGTGTGCACCGTGGGGAGCCACAGCCATTCTGTAGACTCATCATGATGCACAGTGGGAAAGAAAAACCAGGTCATCTTGCTCTCTCAAGAATGCTGATCTGGATGTGAAATTCAGATGTCACAGAATTGTCTCAATGTCTACTCAAGGAGATGCCAATAAAGCTTAACTCAGCATAAGTTTCCTCCAGCCAAAATGGCAGCATTCTGCTGCTAAGGATCCAGAGCACGGGCAATGTTTGGAGAGGGGAGAAGTAAACGGGATAGGACAGTTAAGAGGACTCTGGGTGCTTGCAGAGGTGGCCAGAGGAAGAACATTGGGGAGCACCCAGAAGCAAGGCAGAGGTGGAGGAACTGAAATGGTAGAGGCGAGTGGGTAGGGACTTTGCCCTTGGGAGACAGAGGAGATAGATGTGGGACCTTGTGCTCCAGAGGAATGCTGTGATGAGGGGTCTAAATAGGAAGTTATGGAACACATTTGGAGATCAGATTTCAGATCTAAAATCACTTTACCTTGGGAGTCTGCTTTTTAATACAGCCACGGATCACTTAATGATAGGGACCCCTGTGAAACGAGTCATCCCGTGATTTCTGTCACTGGGCAGGTATCACCGGACACGCTCACCCATGTAATAGCAGTGCATGGCTTGGCTTCTTACCCTCATAGCTTGCTGGGAGGCCGCCCATTGGGACATTGTGGTGCTTAGCAGTGGCTGAATAAAGTTTAGTTTTTGAAAACGAGCCTTGTTGGAGACAGAAAGCCGCTTTTCATCATATGGCTCGCGGGACGGCCATTGTGGGGAGCAGAACTCGGTGCACTCTGTGCTGAGCTGTGTCCTCTTTGACCCAGAGTAACCGCTGTGACAAAGCACCAAGGCCAGAGCTAAATAATTTTTTTCTTTTAAAAGACAGTGTCATGTAGGCCAGATTAGCCTTGAACTCACTATGTAGCCAAGGATGACCTTGAACTTCCGCTCTTCCTTCCTTCACCTCCCAAGCAGTGGGATGACAGGTGTAATCCACCACCCCCAGTTTTATGCATACCAACTGAAATAAACGTATCCAGCCGTAATGACTTATCATCTTCCGGTTCTGGTTCTGTAGACTATACTAATCAAAGGTCCGAGGGAGGGAGGGCGGGGCTGCCCATCCTGGTGCTGGTGTTCTATGTTTTTTCCTCTCCTGGCACTGTTGGTAATCTTCAGGCTCCTTGGCCTGTAGAGTTGTGGCCCCGCCCACTTTCGTGTTCACGAGGCTTCCCACTGTATGCGTGTCTCAATCTCTTCACATGTACTTTCTGTGACGCGAGCCATATTGGGTTGAGGCCCACTCCGAATTATTTAGCTGCGGTCTTGGTGCTTTGTCATGACTGTTACTATGGGCCAAAGAGGATCTCAGAAGGTGTGACCTTCCAGGAGCTCCCAAATCGAGTCTTCCAGGGCAAGGAAGCGAGGAGACTCCAAGGAGACAAGGGAGTTCTAGGCAGTGAGAAGAAGCAGAGGCGTGAAGGTTTTCTCAGCCATGACTGGCTTTCCAGACCACCTAAAGACTGAGAAAGTGTGACCTGCTAGGGTCCCCTCATAGGCAAGAACAAGGGCTGCAGAGCACCCCAGGGTGACCGAAACCTGAGTACATCCTGCCAGGAAACAAGGCTGCTGACAGGAAATAAGCCTCTAGGGTTGGCCAGGGGTCAGCATCCCACAGACCTAGAACCCAGCTCTTCCAACACTCCGCACAGGGGACCCTAATCTGAAGACTCACCAACTTGTTTCTGAGTGAGGCTAAACACTAAGGAGGTTGGGGCATCAACATCCGGGCAAGTCCTCTTGTCTGTGCCCTACTTACTGCTTCCTTGGGTTCCCATCTATGACACCGAGGACTCACAGTTCCCCAGAATCCCGAGCTGCAGCTGGGATTCCACCGGAGTCGGCGGTCTCAAGGCGGAGAAGAGTCTTCCACTGCCGGTCTGATAAACGGCGTCAGAGGGAGCAGGCATCGGCAACACTCACACCCGCAGCTCTGCCCGAGGGCAGAGGAGAGAGAAAGGGGCACAGAGGGGTGGAAGGGTGTGGGTGGGTATCAGCAGGAGAGAGCTGGGTGGCATCCAGAGGAGGTGGGTGTGGTCAGAGAAGAGAGGGGACCCACAGGGGTGAGGTGATGTTTAGAATATGGAGGTGTCCCTGGCCTGGGGACAACTGTTCAAATCTGGGGAACAGTGTCCCCTGTTGCTGGCCAGGGGCCAGGTGTTTCTTAGGTCCTTTTTTTGTGGGGTTTTGACTCCAGTTCCAGACAGGCCCTCCCCTGAGTTCTGGCCTGGCTGCTCCCTAACCACAACCCACATCTCACATTTCATTTTGGACATCCTTCCTTATAAACCTACTGTCTGGATCTGGCCTAAAGTGAGAGCTTTCTTTTGAAGTCTTGTGTTTTATTTGACAATTTATGCAGATTTTTGAGCTTGCTTCCATGTTTCCCCCCATGTGTGCTAATGTAAAAATATTATTTGAAATGATTTAGCTTTGATGTGGGGGTAGCGGGATGGGGGGCATGTGTATCCCTGGCATGCTGTACTAAGCTTGCCCTCAATGCCAATGCTTGTGAGGGAGAATGTCTTGGCCGGCTGCTTCCTGGAGTTTGGCATGATTACTTCGGTTCTTGGCACTTTCGACCTGGATGGGCACCTTCCCAGGGAAAGCCCCCCTTGCTGGTGGACCCAGGCTTCTAGCTTCCCCTTTCTTGGTGGCCCTAAGACTTGTTTTATAAGTCCTGGCTGCTAGGGCAAAGCCAGACACCCAGGAAGCCCCTCGGACAGCGGTCCCTATTTTCAATCCTGGATGGGATGTGCAGCTCTGTCTTCAGAGAGCCATGGACTTCTTTCACCTTTGAATTCCTGCCCTCCGGGTATTTCTAAGAGGCCAAGGAGAATCCTCCATGTAAGACCCTCCCTCTCTCAGCCAAGACAAAAATAAGGTAAGGAAATAGAAGCCCCTTTGTCTGGCCCTGGTGGCCATTTCTGCTTGTGTAGGGCCTTAAAACTATTTTGATTATTTTTTTATGTAATTTTTAAAGACCTGAGAAAATCTTAAAATGCTTAGTTTTAAAATTTCATTTCAATCTAAAAAGTTAAAAATTTTCAATGTATATATTCATTGTACATGGCGCCATGTTACATAAGGACACTTTCACTCCAAATGAGCAGATAATATGGCCTTCCTTCCCCACTTCTGTCCCTTGTCCTAGATATCATCACCTTGGCTCTCATGTCACACATACATACCTCATTTCATGTATCTATATAAATCCTAGGAACCACAAATGGGGGAAGATGTATTTGTCTTCCCGAGACTGGCTTCATTTGTTTAATATGATCATTTCCAGCTGCATCCAGTTTCCTTCAAATGGTACAGCTTCCTTCTTTCTGCCTGAAAGAATTCTGTTATGCGTATCTACTACTGCCCTGTTGTTGGCCACTGATGTTAGTTCCCTGTAGCTAGAGTTTTCCTGCCTGGCCCACAGTCAGGACAAATCTTTGTCACCCGCCAGTCCCACAGCTGCT